TGCTTCGGTCCTACTCTGATATCTTGTAAGCCATCGCATCAAAGTGTAATATATCATATAATACAGTATTAGTAATTATGATAATATTTAATCATCCTTTTGTCCAAATTAAACTAAACTATGTCTAGTTTTTTGATGTGTGAAGTAATCCAAAGGTGTTACACCAAAACCAGTTATCATTATTAAGTACTAATGATGAATTTATCAGGGCTGTCAGGGCAGGCTTGTTTCATATAACTAGATATGACAACAATCATTGTCTTCCTAATACACAGATTCCTCATCTGGTCCATAAAGTAAATTTCATTTATTGTTTTATTTCCAAAAAACGTACTTTTAAAGTAGCTGACATTTAGTATTTCTTTTTTTATAATTTTTTATTCTTCTACAAGGATCATTACATGATAATATAAGAGAAATAGTGAATATTTCACTAAAAGTGATAATTGTAAATCTGATTAAACAGGATTAATTTATTGCAATTCATATATCAGGATTGAAAGTATCACAAAGAATATTTTTTCATGGAGATCTGGAGGTGATCACACTACAAGACAGAGAGAGACAACATAACATGACAAGCATCACATCAGCGAGTTTGTATTTTGTATTTTAAAAACTACTCATCACTTCACTTCTGTGCTACTTCTTCAATTCTCTGACCAAATGAATCAAATTTGTCTAAGCTGCTGGTTTTTGCCTTGGAGAAAAAGAAAATATAAAGTGCTGTAAGAAATATCAAATATGGACATTTTAGAATATTTTTAGATGCTTACATGTTGTTTGTTATTACTTTGTAAGTATCATGTTGTCAATAGCATGTAGAAACACTTCAGCACAGCTTTTGAACACTAAAAAGGCTGGTGTGAGGAAAAAATGACCCTGCAGGGTGTAGTGTTTTCCTGAATCTCCGTGAGAGGTTTTTTGTATAGTTTTGCTTGGGTCTCAGAAACATCCCTGCTAATGTTCACACAGGATCTCCTCACATCTATGAATAACTATAACTATAAAAGACGTGTAATTTATGAAATGGGTTTGCTGTAGATTGACAGAACAACCTTTTAAGGTGTTTACAGATTTATTTTATTCTTAGTCCATACTGTACATGATTGGATTGCAGAAACGACCATACTTTATTTTTTTGAATAAAGTATGATGAATGTGTGATTGGTCCACTTGGATTTTTTCTATTTCCTGTTTTTTTTTAAATATATGTTTTGCAATGACCCTGATGAAGGCCACAAACTAAAACATGTTGGTCACCTAATAAAGTTGTTTGCTAAAACTCGCTGGAGTATTCATGTCATAATACTTTAATTTTTAACATTTTATTATCAAAAAAGGACATTTTTGAAAACTGACATTTACTACCACTACTACTACTGCTACTGCTGCTAATAATGTCTAACAGGTTTGTGCATCTGATAAGTGACTGTCATCATCCTTGTAATAAGTATGAAAAGCAAAGAGAATGGTTTAGTTTAGTTTACCAAGTTCCCCATTAGCTCCTGCAGTAGCAGTAGCTATTCTTCCTGGGCTCTGACGAACGTTTTAACAATTTTCTTTTCATACATAAAACACGTATGGGAGACAAGAAAAGGCTCATAAACAACAGAACAACACAATTAAAAACAATTCTGGGGGGCGATCGTGGCTAAAGAGTTGGCAGTTCGTCTCGTAATCGGAAGGTTGCCGGTTCGAGCCCCGGCTCGGACAGTCTCGGTCGTTGTGTCCTTGGGCAAGACACTTCACCCGTTGCCTACTGGTGGTGGTCAGAGGGCCCGGTGGCGCCAGTGACCGGCAGCCTCGCCTCTGTCAGTGCGCCCGAAGGGAGCTGTGGCTACAATGTAGCTTGCCATCACCAGTGTGTGAATGTGTGAGTGAATGGGTGGATGACTGAATGTAGTGTAAAGTGCTTTGGGGTCCTTAGGGACTAAGTAAAGTGCTATACAAATACAGGCTATTTACCATTCATATACTCTGATAAGACTGATGCACAGGGGAAGTCAGGGTTCAATTTGTTGCTTAAACGATTCCTCAGCACAAGGGAGGAGCTGAGATCAGACCACCAACCTTCCAACTGGTTGGTGGCCACTCCAACTGGCCACTCTACCTCCCTACCTCCACCCCAGTGGAATGGACTGAAAAAAAATGAGAGAGTTGTATATTCATCTCTACATCATTTTCCTGGAGGCCTGGAGGCCACGGCCCTTACTCTGATCCTTAAAGTGTTTACATTATAAAGTGATGAATTAGACTGCAGAGACCTTCTTCCTCAAAAAAAAAAGAAAAAAAAAGAGCCAGGTCACGACAATATAACTGTTTTAGGAGATTTATGTCCCTGAAAGAGGAGTGATAAAAACACGCAGCCACTTTGTAGTTCTCAGATTCAGCACACATGTAGCCCGCCTGCACAGTTTTAGTTTCAGGGAGGAAGGTCAAAGTATTCATCATATTTTCATGTGAAAATTAGCAAACAAAAGCCATTTCAATACAAGAAATAAAAGTTAATCAAAAAATGTTTTTTTTATCTGCAGTTCCCAAAGCAGTCAGCTTTGCTGCCCTTAATTTCTCTGGTTTTCCTGGTTTTGAGCTACAGACAAATGTTTCGGAGAATTTTGTTATGAATTTGAAAAGTGTTTAAAAAGTATAGGATAATATTGTAAAGCTCTAATGTCAGTGCAGTCCTTGAGACCGATATTGCATGTCTCACTATCTGAGCATGAAAAAGCTGCAGTGAAATCTACTCACAGGTAACTGGTGCATATTCACGGTGCAACAATGAAATCTAAAACTTATCTGTGAGTGAAAGTGGAAGTAAAAAAGAAATGAAAAGTAAATGCAAAACAAAGCTGCAAAATGCAAATGTCTCAATGGTGACGGGTCGCAGCCTCCTGGAAGTTTTCAGCCATACTGAAACAACAGAATGATCTTAAAATTTGACGGATATTCTTTGAAAGCAACTAAATAGCAAAATAAACAAATAAATGGATTCGAGTGACAAGTGTGCCAATACAGGCTGCTGTGGATGATTGTTGTTTGCTGAGCATCACCTTCAATTTCAGCCTCTTGTGGGCCTCACCACAGCGGCTTTGCTGTTTGTGTCTTTTGGTGCATTTGTAATAGAATTATATGAAAAATTAAATGACCTGCTTTGTGGTACAGGTCATCCAAGAAGATTATGATTTCATTTTAATGAGGGGGCAGCTGTGCCTCTCAACCCTCTGGTCTAAGTGATCACTTCAAGCTCAAAGAAAGAAAGAATAACACAAAGGCAAATGTCAAAGCCTTAAAACGGGACCACAAATAAATGTACATCTTTTATTTACAAGAACAAACACATGAGGCTCGCACAACCAGTCGTGAGTGTGTGTGCTTTAATTTAAAATCAACATCTAGAAATTCAAGGTTTGTAGCATAATTACCGCTTTTGATTCCCGATTTAATTCCCAGTAATTGCAAAAATATTGAAAATCACGCACACTTACACCCTACTTTTAAATCAGCATGAAACGGATGGATGATATGTAGCAACAATTTGGATCTGGAAAGTAGGGGAGACCGGGGATAGTTGTAACATTTTTGACATTTCTGTCTGTAAATTGAAGCTCTTTTAAGGTAGTGGATTCAAAATGTAATGCAAAGTATTTACATGTCTCTGCTATTAAATAATGCAGCTATTTTCTCTGCAGCACAATTACCCAGTGCATGGTATGGCCTCAAACACAAAGAGTGAAATGTTACAATTAACCCCATAGTCTGGGTTAGTTGTAACATATCCTGGGGTGAAATGTAACACAATGAAATAAGGGTACTAACAAAACATTAACATGTAATCTTTGTTTATTCAACACATGAATGTGTGTGACAGAATGCAGAAATCTAGCTTTTGAACATATTCCAACCCCCCAAAAAAGACAAATTATGGAATTTTCTGCAACTGAATATTTCATTAATTTTGGTTGGTCTTCCTTGAATTTGGCCTCATTGGCTCAGTGGGCATTATAACCTACAACTCTTGCACCAATTTGAACATAACAATGAAGCTGAAAAAATGTAGTTGTTCACCAGCATCGCAATTCCATTACTTTTTATCATGGCTTACCTTGGTGTGGTTTGCAAAGTGCTTCAGAAAGATGAGGAAATCTGTTTCTTGCACCCATCCTGATTTATTTCCACTACCAGTACTTCCTACTGGTCCATCTCTGACACAGTGGTCTGCATAATGTATGTGTGGGAACACAAACAGTGGAGGAATTGTGTTGCCAATGGCATTAACCGCATATACAAATGCGACCAGTGAACCTCTCTCTGCTGATGTCGTTGCCCCAACTTGTTTAATATAAGTTAAAGTAATAGTGTGGTAAGTTGTAACATCTGCATTATTGTTACAACTAACCCAGACTGTTACTATTACAACTGACCCAGACTCCTATAGCCATGAACTAGCTAACATTACAGCCAACGGCTAAAACATTAGCACTAAAGACCTACACAGAATATATCCCCATAGACATACAAATAACATAATTTAAGTTTGAGTTTAGCTGCAAAGCAGATAATGCTATTACAAATTGAAATAAAGTAGAAAAACTTACTTTTTGGCATACAAATTACTTTTTTTCATGTTAAATTGTCTGTGTTTGACAAAATGTGCTGATTTTTCACATGTGATAGCAGAACTGAATTGGGCATGCACAGGATGAGTCACATCATTTGAAACTTAGCCCTGATTGGAGAAATTGGAAGTGTTACAACTGACCCACGTTACAGCTATCCCCGGTCTCCCCTATGACAAAATAAAAATGAAGAAGCGCTGCAATGAAAACGTCCAGATATTCAACAGCTGGAGGAGGAATGCTCCCTCGGATGTCGGACTCTCTCCCTCTCTTTCTCTCGCTCATGCTGTCACAGTGTCTCTCCACGCCCCCTCTCCCTTTCTCCCTCCCAGACAGCTTCTTCCCTCCTCTCCGCCGCTGGAAGCTCAGTTGACCAGCGTCGCAACTGAGCGATGCGCCTCTCGGAGAGCCTGATTTTACGCCAGATTTGACATTTACGCCGCAGAGTATCCTGCATTCGTATATTTGAGTGACACACAATTTAAAAAAAAATCCCTATTCATTTAAATTTTTTTTACATAATAGTCATTTTGAAGAAAAAATATTCCCAGGACAAGGTTTTCCAATACATATGTGAAAACTGACCACTAGCAATAGATATTTTACCTTCCGAACGATCCCCCGAGGGGAGGATTTGCTTTTCAACAACGCAGATTTCTTTGATTTTGAGAGCAGCCAGTGAAAACCGACAACTTTGATGAAGATGATACAGGACACGTCGGACAAACTCGCTTGATTTTGATGAATTTCTGAGCTCACAGTACGACCATTGAAGAAGCATCTTCAGGCAAACTACAGGGAGAAGATCTGCCTCACTAACAGGCTGTTATAAGGTAAATCTCAGCTTTGTCTGTGTATCTAGAAATCTAAGAGTCCCTTGACGTTTCCCTAATATTGATTTACAATATGTGGCGGCCATAAGTGTGGCAGCACTTACAGAATTTAACTAGCTATGTATAAATATACGAGCCATGATTCAAGTATTAAAAAACAAACATTTACAGTATTAATACAGGTTGACATCTGTTGTCTTTAGGGGTTTTAATGAATCTAATCAATAAAAATACTAGAAATCTTTAGCACCCGTGGTTTTCTTTGTCTGTAATCTGGATATATATTGTTTTTTCTGACCTTTTCAAAGATATTGCTTTGAGTTTTTGAAATGACATTTTATGATTTTTTCTTAAAACGATTAATTTAATATTAATGACAATAATCTTTACAGCCATATATGATCTTCCTACTCCTGGTAATCTCAGGAGCTCCTCAGGGGTTTCGTCTGGGAGCTCTGATTTTCTTCTGAAATGTATTTTGCTTGGAGAAAAAAAAAGTTAAAGAAATAACCAGTCACTAAAACTCTGTGGACTTGATGAAATGTTGTTTTGTTGAATTTTAAACATTAAACATTGATGTGAGGGACAGTGGTCCAAGCTAGGAAAACAACAGCATTATTTCCTTGTTTACAAAGAAGAGTGCAAATGAATTGGTTAGTAACAAATTGGTAAGTTACATCACAATTTTAGGGCTCAACGAGCTGTAAAAGAATTGCTACATATGAAAAAGCATCAGCTGTCCCCTTTACCTTGATGTCTGGTTGAAAAATAGTTTCCAAAAGCAAAGTTGTGCTGAGACTGGAGATATACCTTACACTCAGCTGGATGTCCTTGTTGGAATATCTAGCAAGAAAAGGTTTGTGGTCAATATTGTTTCACATTGTCATTTTATGAACAAACAGTTTATCAACAAACAACAACAACAAAATTAGGGTGGACGTTGTTTGGCTGTCAGATCACTAAGAATTTCTCAGCTTAACTAGAACTACTTCTCGATCAATTCAAGAAATCCAATATCAATCAAGAAAAAAAAACCCAAAACAAAACCCATAAAATCAATTACATTTGATTTCTTCACCACAATTCTTTTTGCTTTCTGAGTGACAGTTAACTGGACTAGCATTGCACATCGATGTACCATCCACATCATTTGGCCTGTGTTACAGTTATTGCCATCATCCTGTAACCAGTTTGTACTGTGTCCACTGTGCTTGTGCCATACGAGCATGCCCAAATAAAAAGGTGGGGTAAAGTGCTTTCAAGGTGGGGCATGAAGTTTGAAGTGGGGTTGTAACAACATGTCAGCCAAATATTGGCATTGACCTTATTGACTTTTTATTGGCATATCTAAAAATTAGATGGCATTTAGCAGTGTCAGTGGCCTGTGTTCATCTCCCGTGTCTCTCTCTTGCCTGTATCAGATGTGGTCTGACTAAATGTTGAAAGATTATTTGATTAATTAAGATCTCAAAGACTCTTTACACGATTACCAAGTATTACTGTTGGTATTGCCCAGACTGGTATTTTGAACACTGACATTGGCTGGAATTTCCTAATGTAGCGTCTTCACTCTGGAAGCAGTTGAACCAAATTAGCAGAAAGCCTATACTCTGAGAAAATGCATTGACAAGGGACATATTTTTAGCTTCATGCATTGTAACAGTGGCGTTATTGTCGTTTTTTGCGGCGATCCACAGTTGTGTTTGTATATAATTGCATACCGTAAGACCTTTTCTGTCCACAAACTACCAACTTGTGCTAGACTCAAATGCTTAAATTTAAAACAGCTACGTTGCCATATTTAGGGACACAAATACTCCCATATACACCAACTCTACACACCCATAAGTGTGGCAAGGTGGACACAAAGCACACACAAAACTTCCACTCTCCTCACACCAAGCATAGCTCCTCTGTGCTTTGCTGCATAAGTTTGTATCAGAAAAACACTTCCCAACTTCATTCTTGCACTTAGACTTCAATTCTCCGGGGTCTGAAATCCTGGTTTAGGGTTTGGGGAGTGGCCACTGGTGCATAAGACCAACAAAAATCCCTTACTGATGTTACATGGTGGTCGGGGCGAAAGTTTTTGCTGATTTTGTGGTTTTCATGTCATGCAGTACTGCGTGTGTTGCAGGCTTGTTGCATCATGCTGCTCTCCAAAGGTTGGGCAGACGCACATGGATGGATTTTAGAAAAGACTCTGAGCCAAGAAAACTCCTTTCCTGTTGTTGTTGGGTGCATCTGTCTTACAGGCCCCTTCCACCCACTCAGTCTGCTACAGGGTGGGAACATTGCTCATGCATATGGACACCTGCAGGGTTGTGTGTACAAGTTTTAAGTAAATTGTTAAAAGAGGGAGAAAGAAAGAAACAAATAGAATAGGGAGATAAGAGTTAGGAAGGAATGATAAAATAAGGAAGAAAGACCAGAAAGTACAAAAAAAGTAGAAACAAAGTTAGTGAAAAAAGAAACAAAGGATCACAGTTCACAACACTAATCAGTTATAAGAAAATACACAAAATGACTAAACTGTATGGGCAAAAATTAAAGTTTCAGGGCAAACAGAGCCACGGGGAGGAAAAGGATGGCAGAAGATGAAATGGAAGAAGTGAATAAAGTGAAAAATAAATAATCTGATGTGGACTAACAAAGGAGGAAATCAACGCAAGAATGAAAGGATGGCAGGGAAAACAAGGGAAACAAAGATGATGGAAAGAGAATGGAAAACAATGGGAACAGATGTGATAGGACGGTAGTCAGAAGAAAAGAAAAGGAATAAAACATAAGAAAGGGAGTGTGCAATACAAAAAAGTGCAGCAAAAAAAAGACAAAAGGAATGAAGGAAGAAAGCAATTTAGCCAAAAAAAGAGACTGACTGAATGAGTTATTTAATAAGTGGAGTAGTCCAGTGATGAGCCAAGAAAAAAAAAACAGTTTGGGAAAGGAAGCAATCCAAGGCCAGAAAGACGGGATAAAAAAGAAAGACGAAAGAAATGTCACAAAATGAAGGGAACAAAAATAAAGGCAAACAGGAATGAAAATGAAAATGGAGCAGACATGCGGCAGGAATAACCAAAGAATGAAGATGAGGGTGGAGGAAATAAGAAAGAAAACAAGGAAAAGAGATGGAAAAATAGTCAAAGAAAGAAAAGAAGGACAAAGGTGAATAAAAGAAGCAACAGGTAAAAGAAAGAACAACCAAAACTGTTGATGTATCACTGAAAAGGGACTCGAGGGAGATTTGGAGGGGTTCTCTCTTACTCCTCCATCCCTCTCTTCCTTGGACCTCCAGCCCTCCTGTGGCCCTCAACCTGAAACCATCTGAAGCCCCCTGCGTGGTTGCTGGCCTCAGGCCTCTGTTGTCTCCATACTTTCCCTGCTGTTTGTACATGATGGGTTCAGTCGGTTCAGTCCAGCTATAAAAGCACCACTCCCCTTCTTTCTCCCCTGCGGCACAGGCAGGAGTTAGCAGGCCTCATATGGGAAGAGGAGGAAGAGGAGGCCTCACTGGTTCTCTTCATATCCTTCGCTTTTTCCCCCTTCTCCTCTTCTGTGCTCCGGTCTCCTTTCCTCTCCCACTTGGCTTGTTGGTTGGTTTGCGGTAGCATTTTCAGGCCTAGCCCTGGACGAGACGTTCATTTTTCTCCTCTTAGTTTCAAACCACTAACTAACCACTGGCTCCCTGCATCCCCCCCACTCCTCTGCATCTAAGGAATGTCTTATTCACCTCCTCTCTACGTCTCTCTTCTCTGATTCTTACAAGCTAAAGCGCACATGCGTTGGTGCCAACATCTGCAAAGATACACACATGTATCTTTGAGCATACATGCTTTGAGCACACATGGCGTTACTTTTGCCAACAGGCGGACACGATTCGGCAACCCCACGTGAACACACACACACACATTTTGACACACAAAAGCCCCCCCCGGACCCGTCAGTATGTGCCGACCACCTGTGAGGGTACACACACAGCCATAAACCTCCCTTTCTTCTCTCCCTCTTTTCCATTATCCTCCTGAGAGCCCAGCGCTGGGGCCTTCGCTTCCAATCCAAACATAGACCAAATTCCGAAAACCCCGACTCAAACCCCCCCCCCCCGTCTCTCTCTCTCATTTTCTCCTCTCCCACCCCTCTTTCTTTCTTTTGGGTTTGTGTTTGGAGGAAAGAGGCAAACGAAATGCTGGCCTCAGTGAAAAAGCCCTGGCAGAGCGAGGGAGTGAGTTGTGAGGTAGAGAAAGAGAGGAAACAGCCTTGTCTCCTCAAGGTTGGGAATTATGATTGTAAAGGGGGCTCAAGTGCCGTCGCAGATGGGCGTAGGATCTTGTTCTGTGTTCAAGTGGCCTTAGATGTAGACAACAATATGATGACTGTTTATTTTTTTTTCTTGTGGCTACTTTGATGATGTTAAATTTTGCGTAGGTGTCAGTCTCAACAAATCTCTAGGTCTGCTAGGAAGCCTACATGAAAGATTGTTGGCTTAATTGCTGCCCCTCCCTGAGCCAGGTTAGGTCGGAGGTGTCATCCTGTTAAAAGGGAGTTTTTTCTTCCCACTGTTGCCAAGTATTCACTCATAGAGAGTCGTTTAATTGTTGGGGTTTTCTCTCTATTGTTTATCTCCCTGTTATACTTCACTATATGAAACGTCTTGAGCCCACTGTTGTTGTGACTTGATCTGAACTGAATTTGACAAATGTGGTCAAGCAAAGATTCAACACTCTTTAAAACAGTTTCCCTTTTTAAAAGTGATATACTCAAACTAATGACACAAAGTAACATTTTGGAACTCTTTTGGTGGTCCACTACTTTTATTGCACATTCAAAACCATTGAAAAGTAGACCCAGAGGATCTAGATTCAGAATCAGAATGCTTTAATAATCCCTAAGGAAATTATGTCATGTTCATGTCTAGGGTCTTCTTGTTGCTTGATGCAAAGACTCCATCTGATCTCCAGGGTCTTTGCTATTAAACTGCGTGACACCATCTTGGAAAGCGC